GATAGATAGATAGATAGATAGATAGATAGATAGATAGATAGATAGATAGATAGATAGATAGATAGATAGATAGATAGATAGATAGATAGATAGATAGATAGATAGATAGATAGATAGATAGATAGATTATACTAAAATTGAAAATGTCTCTAAGAAATAATAGAAGACATGTGACTGCCCACCAACATTTGACCTGCCCTATACCTATAGGCTTAAAGTATGCAATCAATACCATCTTACCTTTGCGTCTGGTGCTAGGATACAAACTGTTGGAGAGCGTAGTAGCTGATGTTCCATCGCAATGCGGGCCCTTTTATACTATGGCTTTATCAGGGCTCGTGATCAGTCTAATTTAAAAGTAGGCAAAAAATCTTTCGGAGATTTTTATTTATTTATTTTTTTTAAAAGGGAACATTTTAACTGAAAAAAAAGGGCATATTTAAACCATTTTTAAAAATAAATAACGCAGATGCAGTTTCCCATGGCGTTAGCTATCTGAATCATTGGAAGCTAAACATAGAAACTTTATCAGAGTCGTGTGATGTCTTCGTGATTAGACTTACATCTTGATTTGTATTTTGTGTGCTCTTTAAAACAAAACAAAAAACAAAAACAAAAAAAAAGTAAAAAATTCACCAACCATTGATGGAGTTGTTTTTTTTTAAATGCTATCCTCAAACTGACCCGTATGCAAATTAACCATGACCAGAATTGAGGCTGCTGGATCTGAGAAGATGTTCAGGGTGAGCGGGTCTTACTCGAAATGATAAGTTTCTGCGTGAACCCGTGGAAAGTAAGGTTTGTGCTTTATTTTAAAGTGAGTTCCGATGTTGTTTCCAAATATCCTAAACTTTTTATTAAACACCTTGCTTTTGCTAGAACTTCATCAGTGAAATCTGGCTTAGCCAATATTTGTTGATGAACACAAGTTTTTTTTTATTGATAGTTCGTAACAGAGCACGTACTATTATTTATTTTACATAAAAGTTAAAGGATAGTGGTCTCACCATTTGCTCATAAAAGATTACTAAGCATCATTTGAATCCAACATATAGCACATTTTTCTCTTTTTTTAAAAATTTCACTCAAGAACATCATCCATCTTAAGGGGTTTGTCGTTCTTTATTATCTCAAACCCCACCCCCCCCCACCCCCCCTCCCAGAAAAAAAATTTAAAAAAATTGTATTCCTCCCCTTTAAATAATAAAAATTAATGGTTTACATTTTCTTTTCATCGATTATAACTTGTGCAGAAATAATTTTATTTCCTCTGTTTGTCCTGCTATGTTTTTTGAATAAGCGCATGCCTTTCATAGTTAAAAAAAAAAAAAAAAAGCTTGTCACAAATGGCCACGAAAGATCATTTTATGGTCCGCGAAGATAAAATCTCGGAAACCCGGCTGTGTCTTCGCGTTGTGTCTTGTTGTTTTGTGTCCATAGGATTTAAAAAAAAAAAAAAAAAGCGACATGAAACAATATAACTAGCGATGGTCCGGGCGAGCTATTGGAATAACTATCCTAAACGGTTACGCGAAATTTGATCGAAAGAAATTTCGTCGACGGTAAATTGATCGACGGAAATTTGATCGAACTGACCCAGGGGTCAGAGGTGAGCTATTTTATTATTGGACTACTTCAATGCAACGGCCGTTGGGGTGGTAAGAGGCGCTGCGCACCATCTTCGAACAACGTCCGTCTGGTCACAGCACGGGACGACGGCGGGTACATCGCAACACCCTGTCGAGCGCCGCCTTCAGCAGCAAAGGTCCTCTGATGTACGTCCGCTAATTCTCCAGGAGTGGGTGGTGGAATAGCCAGGTGATCAGAGGTTTGGTTGTTTCAAACGGCTGAAGAAATATCATCACAATATTCTTGTTAGTACATGACTTACTGGGGGTTTTAATTGACTTCTTTACATATATTTTTTTTTTGGTAAGACTAAACGTTTCTTTATTGAAATATCGTAATCTACAGCCTAAAACTATGTGGAAACTGGAATCTGCTTTATTTAGCGTACAGGCCAGAAAAAGATTTAACGATTTTAAGGAGTTACGAAGGAGAATTATTAAAGAAAAATTACTTGACCACGAAAGACCACGAAAAAAACAACAACTACTTTAGAAATGCTGCAACCGAGCATTAAACAGAAAATTATTATACAGCCATGGTTAAACCAGTGCAAAATATTGTTCATACATAGTAATAGGAAATAACTACCAGGGCCACCGCATTCGGCGGTATTTTTGTGTCATGTGGTGTCAAGTTGGCAACATAAGAACCTCTTAGAGCAGTCTGGGAAAATTAAAATGCAAGGACGCATACCTCTTGCAAGAGCAGACTAATGTCTGAATGGGCGTTCAGATGCTGCGCCGCACTTCCTCGCGGACGGTTGCACCGCGATGCGCCCATCTCCTGTTTAATGATGGATATGTTGCGTCTCGGGGAATTCCCGACAAAGCACAAACAACAAGCGAAATCGAACGAAACCTTTTCACATCCCAAACACTTTCCTTCGACCGCCCGGGTTTCGGGGATCAAATCGTTTCCCATGAAAATACAATCGGCAAATTCATTTAACTTCTTACACTATTCCAAATAAACTGGGGTAACATCGATACGACCATCGTTATAAACCACGAAGCGGCTATTTTTAAATTACCCCTTTTCACATGAAAAAACCATACGCCCTCCGCGACGGTCTCCGCATGGCGTAGGGAACATTTTGTCGCAATAAGAATGATGCGATCAGCACATTTCGTTTAAGTAAACATTGCTGGCAGGCGTGCACGCGTACAGCCAGAGCCCTTAACTTAATGTACCATTTTTTTACCATACATTCCTCATATTCTACGCGGTAATATTCGGTATTTGAATGTACCCAATCACTCAGCGGCGTTTATTATTATTTTTTTAAAAATAAACATTTCGACTTCATTGTCAGCTCATTCATCTTACAAGATTTAATGAGATGCTTGTATGTTTTAATGAATGTTACATATGGCTTTCATGTTATCATTTCAGTTAATTCAAATTGCAGTAGTGGTTCAACAATCATTGATCAAGTGATCAAAAATTTAGCAAATGTTTATTGGATAGCTGTGTGTAATGTTTATTATCAATTAGAAACGATGAGATTGGAATGACAATGGACACACTCTCAATAATAAGGCTCTGTCAGTTTGTCTAGGGCCCAGGTGGGCAACCCTAATAGCAAACCGACACATGAAGTGAATGGACACAGCAAATGTGACAAATTTGGTTTTGCACAATACATATATATATGTATATATATATGGTACAATATGGTACAATTAAATTATTCTAAAAATATCAATTTATACAATTTTAATTGTATTATAATTATGCATCCAGTTAGTCGAGTATAGATGTGTTCAGAGCAGTTGTTAAGATGTGCTTAGTGCAGTTGTAGAGATTTGCTTGGTGATGTTGCAGAGATGTGCTTGGCGCAGTTGTAGAGCTGTGCTTAGTGCAGTTGTAGAGATATGAGTGGTGCAGTTGGGGAGATGTGCTTAGTGCAGATGCAGAGATGTGCTTAAAGCAGTTGTAGAGATGTGATTGGTGCAGTTGTATAGATGTGATTGATGCAGTTGTAGAGATGTGATTAGTGCAGTTGCAGA